ATAACAACTACATCGGTTAGCAAAACCCTCGATTCACTATGATGTGGTCTATTTCGTTATGGTACTATCCATTGGTAGTTATACGTCCACCGTTGAGAGTGGGGCTTCTGAAATTGCGAGTTACCATGAATAGTCTCGTCGTTATAAGCTCAGACATCCGCTCACCTTGTTCGTTCCACTCTAATCAGTGGGTCTCAATATGATACTTCTTCCGGGTCCAATATTAGCGTTAAAATGTCTAGTGGTCACCATAAAAATGGATGGGCTTCCCTGTAAAAGTTCTCCAGGTCTATATAGAACGTTTCGACTTCGTTTTCGCCCATTTTGATGTCACTGCGTAGACAACGAAAGCTGTCAACGCCGGTGTAGATCCACATCGCTTCACCGGCAAACGTCCGATTCGGGTTGCTAGTTGTTCGAAAGAATCGATGTTCATGGTCAAACTCGTGTTGATGAAAACGCCGACTCCTCTACTGCCACATGCTGCGAGGAGAACAGCTTTTCCCTGATGTCGTAGACGGCGTTAAATATGTAGCATCATCTCATCTCCGCCATTTTGATGACTTCGTACCTTATTCGTCTTGCCTGACTGATCAAGTCCCTTATGGAACACTCAGATACAAGTTTGCAAGCATCGTGGGTACAGATCGCCACTTTAGTTTTTTTCCGATCTAGGCAGCCTACACTGGCCCTGATCTCTAAGCAGCCTCTCCGTACTCGCCCTACCCAACGCTGCCGAATCGGGTGCCCTTTCAGGGCCAGAGGAATGAGAGCAGTTTATTTTGCTGAATTTAGCGTTTGATATCCACGTATAGCTTGCCGAGCTAGGAACGCAGAGAGTAGATGTACTCAAGCAAGCAAAGGTCGCTTTCAGCTCGCAATTAATCCCCTATCCGTCCCATCTAGGGACGTTGCCTCGCCAACAACGAGCATGAGATCCCTCTATGAGAAAAGTTCGTGGAAGCCGCGACTTAGCTGAAATAATTATCGAGCGTTTAGGTAAAGCTGACTCAAATTCCATTCATAATTAAAAATGACCACGAGCTTTCAATCTATTAGTTAGCGAGTCTTAACGTCACTTGTATTATCTGTCTTCTTGTTGATCGTCCAACAAATTTATGAGACGTGCCGGGGTGTTCTTGAAAAAGTAGTCGGTGCCGGAGCGTTGTGTTGGAAGAAGAGTGTCCTCCGTTGACCACAACTGAATATCCATGCTGTAATGTTTGAAATGTCTATCCCAGCACCTCACTTCTCTGTTGCAGCCGTTTCACCAAGAGTGAGGACATTTTACTGCATTCTTGATGTACATTATCGTTTGGAAAAACTTAAGAGCTTCATCTTGATCTATTGATCATCGCCGGATGTCATATACTACCAACCTTTCGTTGTATGTCACAATTCAACCGAAAAAGTTGTCGCTTTATTTTATTAAAAGAAGTACAGAGCCACATTATGAGGATTGTTGAGTTCTTCGCTCAGTTCTTGTGGCATCAGTTCACCGATGCTTTCCAACCTACCAGTGTTCTCCATATTTTCGACGATTGCTGCATAGTGGCGGTGGAGATTTTCCACAGCTTTCACCCTACAGATGATCGTCGTCCTCACGGCATTTGTCATGAGCACTCTTATCTCCGGTAAGAACTTTTCCAACCACACATGCTTTCTTTATCCTAAACGCCTGACTGCGCGTCTTCATCACATTCCGAGTTGTTTTCGACCAAATATATCTAGATTTGAACTCCTTAGGAAAATCAACATGAATTGGCTGTCTTAACAATATCATTTTAAACAGCCGAAAAGAATTGTTAAGAGAGATAATCTTTAAATAATACCCTACAATGACCAAATGCTTACTGTAGAGTTACAAGACAGGAACCGCTATCATTTTTGCACTAACAAATAATATCCAATATACAGTATTTAATGAGAGTTAAAGCTCGACTAACAACCAAATTGAATACGTGCAGCAGATTACTTCATTAAGATCTAAAAAAATAAATGGTCGAGATTGTAAACGAAGCATAAAAAATACCCGCCCAAAGATATGTAATGGAGACTTCTATGCGCACGCTGTATTCCACTAACGTTACTAAACATAGATTAGGCTACTTTGCCCAGTTAAGAAATGTTTCAACTACAGAGAGGGTCCACTTAGTAATTGTTAGATCTGTAACAGCTCGTCCTTCATATTACACAAGACAGGGCATATCATTGTACAAAGATTTGCTGCAGATGAAGAAATAAGAACTATTGCTGTTGAATTCATACCCGCTTCCGTTTCATCTATTAAAGCCTGTGCGAGCGTTGTGCTTAAGTGAGAAGCCTAATAGCCCACTCACCCGTGAAAACTTATTTGTATTTCCAGACAAGCCACACTTCAAGTGCGTGCTGAAAAGCCTTAGCAATGACGGTTAGTTTAGTCATATCAATTATGCTTCAAAAGAAAAGGTAAAAGGGTTTTTAGTCCAGTGGAACAGTTCGAATGCTCTATGACGACGAGGAAGATTATCCGAAGAGCGAATGGTTTCACATCGTGCTCATTTCACTCGTGTTCACCATATGCTTCAACATTACCGTTCTTTCATACAGGTCTTTCATGTGTCCTTAAAAAAGCTGATAGTCGACGTTTTCCAAAATTACTTAGTTGCCAGGATCGACTTTCTATTAACCTCGGCAATGGAATATTAATGCGTCGTTTTCTTGTTCAGCATTCGCGAGGTTTTTAAACAGCATACATTTACTTCCATAGAAAAACACAATACAATACAACACTAGCTGACGTTTTGGCAGTATCGCCTTCTTCAGAGCCTGCAAGGGTGTACTGATATACAATCTACTAGGCCAAGCGCTTCAATAACACTTACAAAAAGACGAAAAAACTCTATGGTAGTTACATTATCAACAGCTTCTCGAAAAACTCACCGTTTTCTCTGTGACTTCCAATGAGGAAGTTTAGAACAACTGATTATAGTCGCATATGGTTGATGACTGCACCATCCCACATCAGAAATTGATGCGAACATACGGGGTCAGGTCGCGTATGACCTCTGGGCATTCCTTCCTGCTACTCATTGTAGGGTTTTTGGCATTTATCCAAAAAGCCTCAAGAAGTTTTCGTGCTGGTGTTTTAGTCTCCCGTGCAAGGATACTGACTTTTACTTCAAAATCGTCTCCGCTATGCTTTTGTATCCTATGCGTGCCTAGTGGGGTGCTTCGTCCTAGTTTTCGTTTGCCATCTAGGTGTTCTTTTATACGGATACACAAAGGTCAGCCCGTTTCGCCAATATATTCATCTCCGCAATTATTACAAGAGATCAGGTATGTCGTACCTGAACTCATGCAATCATCGTCCCTGCCGTAAGGGCAAATTACGCAATTTGTTGTTTCACACAGACGATCATACAGGCGGTTACGAACTAATTGACAACGTGGAGTAGCCGGTGGTATTTCAACTATCGCTACCGATTCCTCTAGGCCTGCTCTTCTTAAGCATCGTTTTATAGCTACGCTTACTTCATCGTTTATAAAAGGCAACATAAACGGGATTTTCTTTTGGCCAAGTGTTTCGCGTGGGCGCGTCGCTCTCCTTCTAAACTTATCTCGTGAGGTTACTATTTCGTAGCTATTGGAGATGGCTATTTGCCGGACCAAGTCGCGCGATTTTTCCTTTAGTTCCCTGGTAGTGCACGCAGAGGTGGCTGTTCGAAACACGTTTCTCCCAATCACCCTCTTTGTGTGTGAAGGGTGGGAAGAAAGGAAATGAACAAGAATGTTCTTGTTACTTGGCTTTCGATACCTTTTTGTCAGGTAACCGCTACTTGATAGGTTTATTTGAACGTCTAAAAACGGAAGCCAGTTTTTTCCCGGTTTCTCCCGGGTGAACTTTATGTACTCGGACTGCTCGTTCACTAATTCAAAGCATTTGTCCATCTTCTCCTGAGTAGAAAAGACGACAAAGCAATCATCTACATATCTGCAGTAGAGTAGTGGTCGGAGATCGAGAACAGGGGCTTCTATTTTAGACATAAACACATTGGCAAGGCTTGGTGCCAGTCGCTGTCCCATTGCCAACCACCTTGTTTGCGCGAAATATTTCCCGGACCATCTGAAAATCGAGCAGTTTAGGCACTCCTTTAAGAGAGCCATCAGCTGCTGGATGGACAAGCCATGCATATTTATTCTTCCTTCATGTTCGACAAGAAGTTCGAAGATGGTATGCAGTGCGGAGTCATTCGACACGTTGGTGTGCAGTGCGGTAACGTCGAAAGACTCCATCACGTACGCGTTACGTAGACGTTCTAGGAACATTTGGGTGTTTGTGAGGTGAGATCGAATGTGGTTAAGCAACTGGGAAAGTATGAGGCTTAAAAACCAGGTTATTCTATCCGCTGGCTCGTCTACACAGCTGATGATCGGTCTAACCTTACATGATGACGGATTGGTTGATGCATGATCTTCAGGTGATACCAACTTATGTGTTTTAATAAGTAGGTATAGGATGGGACATGTTGGTTTATCGATTTTAAAGTGCAAAATAACCGATTATTTTAAATCCGCAGCCTTTGCTACACTGACCCATTGATTGATTAGCTATCGGTATTCACTGTTATATTCCTTTTCAGAGGATGGGCAATAGAGGGTAGCATCACTAAGATGTTCCTCTGTTATCCCAACATCCAGCTGGCGTGGAATAACTACGAACTCTGTTTAGTAAATCTCTAATTTCTCGCATGCCACATTTTTGTGCGGCTGTAAGGTTTAGAGATAAACTTTCTATCGTGGTAGTGAATAAGAGTCTTGAGAACGCTGTCCGAAAACACGCGGAATTTTATGTCAACTCCATCGTTAGGGTCCTGCTGTCTAAAAAGAACGTTTTAAAACGTTAGAAAAAACTACTTAGTTGGTGCTTAATATTGATTACAACTCAGCAGAAACATCTGTGCAAATAATGCATATTGATTAAGAAAGCTTCGTCAATCAATGAAGTTTGTCATTTTAAGGTTCTATATCTGAAAATCCACTTTACAGACATTATGCCATCATTCGTCGCGAAAAACTGGACAGGCTAAGCAGAAATAAGGAAGTAGTAACGGTAATATGATACTTCATAAAAATTCTAAGAAAAAGCAATCTTATCGTATGCGACCTACATATGACAAGTTTTTAGGAAACATGGTATTTGGAAAAAGAGGTTATTAAGAAGGAGGCAGAAAACCGCCGGAAGAAGAGAGAAGCTGCTAAGAAGCTTTTGTAGATTGGATAGATGACACTGTTTTCGCTTGCTTGTAAGGTAGAAATATTTAAGTAATAAATTCGGTAATGATCTCATCCTCCTTTAAGGTGCTGTGAATTTCATTATAATATCCTACGCCTAGTTTTCTTCACTACTGAGCTGAGCTTTTCTTATAGCTGACCGAATCGATTACTGGGTGATCTCAACTAATGGAGTAATACTGCTATTATTCCTTTGTATGGCTCGTCTTCGCGTATCCCCCAACTCTTAGTTTATCGCCTTGCCTTGTATTGGGGAAATGTAGTCTCTATCGACTTATGGAATGTGTTTATGAGGTAGATATATTCTCAATTTGTTAGAGGAATGTCTATATGTCTTCGTTGTTCCAGCATCCACCATCAAAGAGTTCGAAATGATGGGAGGTTCGATCAAAGACCACGCGTTTGGTTCACAGCATTTCCAACATTTCCAACAACCGCGTTTCCAGCGCTCCAGAATTACTGCAGTAACTGAGCGATTGAAACATCAGGACTAGATGAATTGAATGATCCAGATGTCCGTATCGACTTTGAACCATCGGTGGCATTGTGTTCGTAGCCGCCTTTCGGGCACTTGAACGTGAGCAACGAAAGGAAACAACCTGCGATATTTGTCACCATCTAAAGTGTGTACCACACGATCAACAGCTTCTCGAAAAACCCACCTCGCTGTATGTGGTTCATAAGTCGTGGGTGGAGCAGAGAGGACGATAAGAATCACGTGCGGTTCATACTATTCCCACGTATTTGTTTTCCGGGTCGGTTTTGTTTTTTTAGCGAAATCTGTTCTCCTCTCACCTTTTGCACTGAGTGGTACACAAAGGGTATTCTTGGCACTGCATAACGGACTACGTTCATTGAGTTCTACGCAATCGCTAATGGGAAAAAAATCAGAGTCCACCTGATGGCCCATGGGTCGAAAATTGGGCTTCGATGCGGATGTATTAGAAACTTTCTAAATTTATTCCTCAACATAGCAGAGAAACATATTTGAGGACAGATCTAGAAAATAAAAACAACTTCAAAGATGGTGAGATATTTCCAAAACTTGGACCCCAGGCCAGATCGAACAGCGATTACCCTTTCCGGGGGCTTTGGACTGAGAGGAACAGTGCCTGAGAGAATGGCTGAACGGGGGCATCGGTCGTACTGTGCGTAACAAGTGGGCCCTCGGAACTAGAACTCGCGGTTCGATCTGGTCTTGGGGTTCAAGTTTTGCGGGTATCTCAGCAAATTTGTGGTTATATTCCACATAATACCCTGAAATATAAAAATAATAATAATAAGTAGATAGATAGTCGATAAAAGTTACACAAAGTTGGAACAGTCCAGAGTTTCCAAAACCTTCACGAAATCATGACCGAAAATAGAAGAATATAGCGTACATTTTACACCCAATGGATGTTAGCCGTCCTTGCTCAAATGTTAGGACATTTGGCTTTTCGTGTGATACTAGAACACATCATTAGCGCCTTCACTGCCTCGATTATGCAAAATGAAGAACTCAAACATTGTATTTGGTAGGGTCTTTTGGTACCAGACACTCTTTATTTTATCCCCAACCTTACAAATTATGTTAAGGAAGCGAAATTCGTCTAATTACTTACTTGGATACTTGGATGGCCCGTATTCACTGACAGTGCGCGCTCCAGCATAATCTCCATTTTTTCGGAGATTTGCTGGCTTATTCATGGTGTTTCCCTGGAGTATTGAGATCAGCTGAGCCAAGGTCTGCCCCAGATCGTTATCACCACAAGGAGCCACCGCCCTTGTGATCAGAACGAGATTTATCTCCATGCGACTAATTTGATACCAGGACGGTGGTGGATCCTAGTATTTCTACTTTTAACTGAGCTTCCTAATGAAAACGTCGGACTACCTCTCAGCTTGAGAGACTCTGTTGAGGAGATGAATCCCCCGCCGTACATCGTAGCTCGACACCCAGGAACACCTCCTAGCCACGATGAGGCGGCAAACCATTGGGAGGTCGAATTTGTCGAATTACTCTTTGCATTTATCCCTCCCACAGTTGTAAAGTAATTCAATATATCAAAGTAACAGCCTAGAAGATTTGAACTGCTGTCTTGAGCGGTAATTCATGTACCAATTGATATTCCTTCAAAAGGGCGCGTCAATCAGTCACAGTCGAAATGTTGGACTCGTAGGCGACTCTAGTGAGGTATACAGCCCTGTTCGCCTGAGCATTGCCTTTCGACACTTACTAATACATTGCCCAGTCATAACGATAAATCATACGGGAGGGTGATACTATTTTGCGATAGGAAAGCAAATTAGTGTATTTGGAACGCTTACTCTTTCCTCAGGAGCGTATAAGCGCACTAGTTAGGTGTTCCCTGCAATATATCGATGGACTTTCGTTCGATGCTGAGCCGTGGTCTAAGCAAGCCCCATCCCATAGAGGTTACCAAATAAGCACTAAACTATCCTGCGGGAAACAATGAGAGTAAAAACACTGACCTTATACAATGATGGGACACCACTTGTTATTGTATAACCGAAAGTATGTATCCGATCACCTCTACGATGCTTAATGAAATCGAACATATGAAAGATCATTAAGACATAAGGCTACGCCCTAGACCTTACTTTCTTACGCGTTACCATCTCTATGAGAAAATGCTATTTTTCTATGAGAAATCAAAACATTCCAGAGACTGCACGCTATGAAACGCCTGGACGATTTCGCGCTCCAGTCGCTGTTATATTAAAGGGTGACGATATTAATTTACGGTATTCATCAACAGAAAATCCGCGATGTCAGGATGTGTTCTCCTCTCATATGGTGTTTTTAGTTCTGTGGTTCCATATAGTGAATATCTAAAGTATTTTAGATGACCTACTTTACGAGTTGGGACGAATTCGTAAAGGCAGTGGAGAAGCTTCACTCCATGAAGTCCGATAATTGCAGGTATGTCTACTTGTTACGAGCTATGGAGTATCGTTTTCTATTTCAGATGAAATATTTCTTAAAAGTATAGTTTTAACCACGTGAGTCGTGGTGGGAAGTCATGCACTGCACCCTTTCTCGAATATGTTGGCTTGCCTAAATATTTTTCGACATGTCACTTCTAACACAGGACTTTGAAGGAATCATCAACAATGAGTGATTCTTGGTACGGCTGGGTGAACATCTCGTCTAATTACTTTTCGAAGTGGTTCCATATCTTACATACTTAGTGACACTAGTCTCCTTATTAAATAAACAAATGGGTCCAATTATTTGTTGGTAAAGTAGTTTTTGTGAACTTTGTAGCTAAAACTACTTTGTAATCGTCGTTATATCATAACATAAAGGGTAGTATTTTGCCAACGGTTTACCACCTCATCGTGGCTCGGTGTTCATGGATGTCGGACTGTGATGTACGGCGGGGATCCATCTCGTTGGCAGGGTGCCCAAGCTGAGAAGGAGTTCGGCGTTTCAATCAGGAAGCCCAGCTAAGAGCAAATCACTTCCAGAATCCGTCACGGTTTTGGTACCGAACTAGTCATATGGTGGAAAATCTTCTTGTGATCCACAATGACGGCGAATGACTGTGGTGGTGACGACCTGAGGCAGACTTTGGCGAGACTGACCCCGGGACTTCAGGGAAACAATGGATAAAGCAGCAAATCTCCAAAAAATGGAGATTACACTGAGGCCCGCACAATCAGTGAGAACGGGTCATCCAAATAGCCAAGTAAAGGATAGTGTGGAAATGTTGCTTCTAGGTATTTTAGTGCTCTCATATCTTCATACCCTTGTAGATTGTATTAAGTTAACCAATCATGCTCTAAGCCTGGTGTTATGTGTAGTTTACAGCCTTGAATAATACAAGTGTTTGCACTACATGAGCTTATTATTGAAGATTTGTTACGAAATACAACCATCGAGACGGGAAGCTAACCATGAAAATGACGGACGACGTCGTCTGTGTTCAGTTCAGTACTAATCAGCTGCAGGACGTCAGAAGATTGGAGAAATTGTCGGCGTCACTAATGAGATCAATGGTATCCATTAATTAACAAGATCGATAATTGTTATATTCATTGCATCATTTGCCTCAAATCCTTTCTCGGTGTTCTTTATGGGATTAGTTGGTTTTGTTGTCGAAAGTTGATTTCATAGTTTTTGTTTACGAGTTGCTTCGATCTTTCAGGGTAACATTACTCACTATTTGTCTGAAATGTCTTCAATGAGCGTTGACAGATTTGTAGTGGTTCGAAAGCTTACCATAATTTTCAAATATTCATGCTTATGAGTGTGATTTATGGTAAATATGTCCTGTCTAGGTCTTCTGGGTGCTGTCAACTATTTCAACTAGATAACATTTTGTGGCAATGGCCATACGAATCATCTCTCCCTGCATATTTGGTGTTCGAATGTAGCATTTGTGGATTGAGATTGGCGATTGGCATCTTATGAAGATTATGAACAGTCGTAAATTCCTGTTCTTTTTTTTTCGGAGGCCGTCGTTAGTGCATCCTATGTTCTATATTTGTGCATCCACACTTTAGGCATTGCAATTTTGTATGAAGGACAATGAAGTACCATTTCTTAGAAGTAATACAGGAAGTGTTAAACGTAAAAGAAGACGCATGTTCGACGGCACTAATTTTATGACATTTACACGGATACGAAAGAAGTATCTCCCAACGGTTTACCGCCTCATCATGGCTCGGTGTTTCTGGGTGTGGGGCTGCGATATACAGCGGGGGATTCATCAGCGAATAGGGTTTTCCGAGCTGAGGAGTCCGGCGTTTCCATCAGTCAGCTCAGCTAAGAGTAAGCGAATACCAGGATCTACCATCGTCCTGGAGTCAAATTAGTTGCATGGCGGCAAATCTCCCTGTGATCCACAAAGGCGGCGGCTGCCTATGGTGGTGACGACCTGGGGCAGACTTTGGCCAGGCTGACCTCGGGTCTCCAAAGAACTACAATACAGGAGATCGCGTTTGAGCAGCTTAGAACATATCAGTGAGGAATGATGAGAGTTGTTAGACAACAAAACGAATGCACGTGGTGGTTCCCGTACGACATGTTCAGGGAATCCTCTTAGAAAATAAGTAATTGTTGCCAGTGAAATGTTGGCACGTGCTCGTACATAAAAATAAGCATGATTCTATGGTCTGGTAAGTGCATGTTATGAATCTAGAATTGGAAGCAGCCTCTAGGTATCGATTAAAGCATTCTATAACTGAGTCTGCTGTGAGTGCTTATCACCATGTCAACGAATAACGCATATGAGTAGGTGGGTGATTGTTGTGTTTTATAGCTAAGGCTCCATCGATGGATATTGAGGGTCTTCGAGCTTGTTGAGCTTAAGGTGTGGTTCTGATCATCTTAGAAGTGATGTGCTTAAACTAGGTACGTAAAGTTGACCGAGCAGCATTTACAGAAGGTTGTTTGTCTACAGAGAGCCTGCGGAATTATATAGCTTTTAACTCTGATTTGGACGATGTTTATATTTGAGCACAATATCTACCTTACAGGATTGACTACAGAGCAACGAATACGGTGGTATATTTAGGAACAAACAACCTAGTGAATTTCTTAACCCTTGCCGAAAAACGTGCGCGGTAGTTAAATCTCTTTCTGAACGAAAGAAAGGGTGCCCTATTCTTAGAATGCTGCTCAACGTCACTTGCTCATTTGAATGTTGCTCTTCGTCCATAGCAGTTCGCTCCGCAGTTACAGAGTTCAACTGTCTTTGATTTTTCTTTTATTTTTAAATTTTTATATTACTATTACTATCTTAATTATCCCACCACTTCTCACATTCGATTCGTTTCCTCGCATTCGCATCCATTATCCACGTAACCTTCCAACCTTTATGTGTGGCTTCAGCTACTGCTTGAGGATTTTCGTTTCATCTTGAATGTCGTAGAATGCTGTTTGAGCAGTTCTCCTTGAAATCTTGAGATAGCCGGGCTGGAGCGTTCCAAATTGGACTACAGAGAGTGATTTTTTTTCCAGACAAGTCCGGTACCAATTTCCAGACCCCGGATAGATGAGAGGCTTGGTGGACTCGGAGCGGAATCGAACTAGCACCATGCTCCTGCTGACCGACATCACTACCACTGTGCTATCCCCCTCTAATGCTAGCCCTTATTGTAATAAGTCTGTTGGTGATAAACTACAACTAAGGGTATTACTGGTTGATTGCCATCACCTGTAGCACCGTTGATCGTCGAGTGACTCCAGCGGGCGCCAGTAAATCTTCCATTTTTCCCTTTCGTGTGCAAGAGTAGCCCAGTGAGTTCTGCTCGCTCTAGGGACTCGTCGAGCATCATATCTTTCTTCTAGGCTCTTCGTGAAGAACTCTGACCATCGGGTCGCTGGTCTTTCTGCAGTGCGTTTAGCATCCCGAGGAATCCAGTCACTAACGGCTCTTATCCATCGGTTGTCGTTCATACGCATTACGTGTACGGCTCACCTTATCTTCGACTGTTTGGCGTACAGAACAGCATCTTTGATTTCTGATCGTTGACACAGATCGGAGCATCTGATCCCATCCCTTGTGTGAAACGGAATACTCCTAGCTTCGTCTTTTCAACTGCGCATTCAATAACGCTGAGTGATCTTTCATCCTGCTTACGCAGCGACTAGTTTTCTGACGCGTACATTAGGACAGGAAGTCCCGTTGAGTCGAAAAAGTGGGCATGGAGTCGGGTGTTCTTTGTCCTGTTCACTATACTCACTGTCCCTCACACTACATGCTCGATGCTCTTGAAAGCTCCCCAAGCCGTTTGTTTCCTTCTGCTCAACTCTGGAGCTAAGTCGTTCAACATGTTGATTTCCCGACCTAGATAGATATAACTGGAGCATTCAGAGATATTCGTTCCATTGAGCGTTGAGCGTTGATTGCCATAGTAAATTAAATTCTCCAGTTAGATAGTAACCACAGGATTGGTTAGGACAGTGAAACTTTGGAAAAATGAGAAAAAATCCGTACAAACAGGAGTACTTCTGTTTGCCTTGCAAAAATTTCCCCAGAGTAGCGGCGTACCACGTCCTTTTTCCGAATATAAATTTGTTTGAAACTATAGTACTTATAATACTGAGGAAGAGTAGAACGATAGTCTATGAAGATATACTAACCAGTGATTTCTGGAAGAATTCAGCCTACCGGCACCAAATCGGTTTTGGCTTACCAGAGAAAAACTTGCTAGTTTACATACTTTGCTAGCCCTTCAATAGTAATGGAGCACGTTTACGATCAATAGCAAGTTGTTCGACACAGCTGGATACTGAACATGTGCTGCTTAAACATCGGGAGAAATGACTCCTTTTTCTTCATTTTTAACTTTTCTTATGCCACGGTTTATCTACCTTTGCGATAGATCTAGCGTTTGTATAGTGAATATTTATTTCGTTGTCGACTTGTGTGCAAAAATTCAAATCTGCAGATGACCATTGTAAGGTACATCTTAGATTTTTGGCGGCGGTTTCATCAGTTTATGATTGCTGTGGATCTCGTATGTTCGAGAGCTAACGGCTTTTCTACTCGGATTGGAATTCTGACGCTTACCTAGTCAGTAGGGATGTGTAATCTCTATCGTAAATAGCTGTGTAGCCCACAATTTCAAGGTTTCATTATCGTTGAGATGTGAAGAGATAGGCGTTGAAAGCAGGCTACTTCATTGATGTATCTTTGTAGAGAAGCCTTTGTTTTTCAACAGTTTTCAAACCCATCGGCAGTGACCGTTTTCGTTGCTAGAAGAGCCCATGAAAAGCTGCTTCTTCCATAAATTTCACATTGGCATGTCAACGTTTTCATATATTGTTCACGACCACTCTGATATTTGACTCGAGAATTTGTTTCTGTAGCGTAGCCGGTATAAACGATGTTTTACGAGTTGATGAGCAATGAAAATACGTGGACTTGCTTTTTTACTGACGTTGATTTGTGAAAGTACTGTATTATTATTGAAGGATCTTGCTCATACTCAGTTCAGACAGCATGCACAGGTTACCCTAACTTGGTTGTCTGACCCTGTCACAACGTCGTAGAGCTTTCATTATGCTGATCTAATGATGCGCTTATTTCTCTAAGGGATCTTTTCGTGTATCGGGTAGAATACACAAGCGATTGGGAGCGCGTGTGGCGCAGTGGTCGAAGGCGCCCTACAATACACACGAGATCGACTCCTGCGCCCTTGGCCCACCAAACCCTCCTTCCCACCAGAGTAGGCAAATTAGTATCAGAATTGTCTGAGAGGATAGCAGCACTGGCTAGATACATCGGTAAACCACCGCGAGTCATTTTAAATCCCAGATATGCATATCAGTCATCTCCAACGTTGCTTAGTGAAGTCGAATGCTTGGCCTCCCCAATGGATTGATCAACGCCGACGGCTTTATCTTTCATTATAGCCATATCCAGATTTAGTATATATGTGAAGCGAATGCGTATATGCTAGCTCACTGTAGCTCACTCAACATCGCTGCTTGTTTTTTGAGTATTCACTAGGCTACAGAACTCTGGCGGAGATCTGTTTTACATTCCTTATAGATATAGACTGATTTTTTTGTGCTGCAACCTTAAGCTGAAATCCGAAGCTTTCCCACAACTTTAGACTAACCTCCTTGCTCTTGTTCACTCATTTCTAGTTGTGTACTATTGAATCATCATTTATAAATCTTCAATCCAAGGGACTGACACAATCGAAAAGTTCTATGTGCACCGCCACTTAGGTACCTAGCTCAAATTTACGTTTTTCATCAGTTATCATTTCAGTGATTTGCAGTGCCATACGCTTGACAGAGATCGCTTTTACATCACTGCTTCATTAAACCAGTAAGTCACTTTGTCATTCTTTATTCATTTTCACCTTTAATCCTTCTCTCATCTCACTTCTTTTAGCTATGTCTTCGCCATCGGTATCGGTCTCCACCACAAGTAGACCACTACACAAGAACGGTTCGTTTGATATGGACGAGAATGCGATCTATCGAGCTGTCATTGTGATCGGAGGGATTGTGTTGATGTCTGTCATATACTGCATCGTCAAATGTTTCAGGT